CAACTAGTTGTCTTGTATCGGAAGCTGCAGAAAAATGAAAGGACTTATCTCATTCGGTGATTGATATTCTATGTGGATCCCATAGATAGTGTCTTCCTAAGAGGAGAAGTTATCGCCTATACTCAATCAGACGCATTCTCTCAGGGCAGTTGAGTCTAGCAAGATATGCGTGGTTCAGCCCAGCACCACTGATGAGACCTATGGTGGACCAAACAGCTAGTAGCCTTGCAGTAAAAAGTGCACTGAGAGACTCATACTTTTTATTATCTCATGCAAATTTGTGACTCCACGATTCTATGATTTTTATGATCCTATGATTTTTATGATTTTGAACAAAAGAAGGAGATTACCAGTTGACGTGTATTTGTTTACCTAACCGTCACATGAATAAAAATAATCAAAATAAACAATAGGTGAATAGATGTCGGCATTCCGATAAAAATTTATATGGAGTACTATTACAGACTGCTCAGAGGAATCCCATATCTATAAAAATATAAAATAGAAATTCAAATAATTGGTATGTAACAATCCAAAAGTTGAAATAGGCAAAAAATAGTTATTTATTATACAAGGGAAAGAAGTACTAGATTTTAACTTGAGCGAAGCGGAGGAAGAAGAAAAACCGAGAGCTAAAATTTAATATTTTTCCCTAGTTACTGCGTAAAAATCAAAGTATTTTTCACAAAGAAAAATCTTCTATTTATCAGTAACTTGTCGTATTTAACAATTTTGCCTATGAAAAAAAATTGTTAAGAAACAATACAATGCTTATCTTTCACGTTTCGGAGGCCAAAATCTGCCTCCGTCTTCAGAAATGGACCAAAAATTTTATATATTCGCAGTTATTCTTTTTTGGTTGTTTATTTCTTCACTTCTTCGACAGATGTTAAAGGAGTTTTGAAATATAGAATTTTTTGTCCATTTCTGAAGACGGGGACAGATTTTGGCCTCCAAAACGTAAAAGATAACCATTGTATTATTTCTTAACAATTTTTTTTGATAGTCAAAATTGTTAAATACGACAAGTTACTGATAAATAGAAGATTTTTCTTTGTGGAAAATACTTTGATTTTTACGCAGTAACTTATCGGGGTAAACTAAAAAGTTTGCCCTTCTACACTTGTATAAAGTTCTCTATTATAATTTTTATATATTTCGGATTGCGGAAGGTAACAAATACCAAAAAAAAATCGATAAAAAACTGATTTTTTCCTCCACAAAAAATGACTTCCGTTGAATATAAAATACTTCTTCTATTAGGACATGCGCAAAAGTGTCCTTACTCACTTCAAAGCACTCTCACTCGAAAGTAAAGATAATGTGAAGATACATTTTCATTGCATATTAATGAATTGACGAAAACGATGAAGTATGCCATTTATCACATGTCATCCTGTTTGATAAAACTGTCAGTTTGATTTTTATTGTCATGTTTTTAACCCATTTTACATTATCAACATGAATTTTCTATGAAACAATGAAAGAAGTTCAAACATTGTGAGATAATGAATCCAGTTTTACAGGTGAGTCAAAAATTTATTGAAACATTTACGAAAAATAGGTTGGATGGAGCAGATTGAACTTTCATACAATTATTTGTCGATGGTAGATAGAGGAACTGTCAAAATGTCTTCAACATGTGAATGATCTTATCCATTGACCCTGCTTTGATACTGGAAAAAATGCCTATTGCAGTCATTACAAACCCCTTTTATAACATATTTCGATACCTTCGCTTGATTCCGTCGAATTTTTCTATCTTTTCTTTTCATGCATGGTTATACTTTCCGTCTGAAAATTTTGAATGATTCAGATATGTATACTCAAAAAAAATGTAATACTACTCAATATTTTCATCAGATTTCACAATTTGTCTATCAGTTAAAAAACTTATTCGGGATGGATTTACATTGTAGCTCACAAATGGTACAAAACTCGAAAAAAGACATTATAATGATGGTTTTTCGAATCTTATGTACTTTTATACTCCGAATTCTCAAGAGCAGAAATCATCGATTTCTACTTACAATTGAATTGGCCTATTTATTTATTTTACGAGATTTTTTCCAAATAATATCTGGGTGTTTTATGGAAAAAAAAACACTTTCTGATTCATAGTACAATCCCCATCAGTAGGAAGTATACCATCTACTATCAGACCTATCGTTTTTCGTAAATGTATGTGACCAAATACATATTTCGTGATGGAGTATAAGTAACTATCCTGCGGCTGACGTGTTAAAAAAATTCGAAAACAGCGATAATTATGATTTTGAGAGAGTCCAATTTTTATATAGAATTCATACCCGAAATTTCCCCTTTTTGTGGTTAGTAGCTACACCCATCATATTTTAAAGCATGGAGGATCAGGTGATAGGTAAGTATCTTGTTATTTTATTCGATTTCTCTTATTGATTAAAATGGACAAGAAACAACAACAATGATTCAAAATTTCGAATAAAAAACTCACTACTTATTCTATAATTAAGAGTCAATTTTGTACAAATTCTTTTATATTATTGAAGTTGTCTGGTATCAGCAAACGGTATATCCTAGCAATTCTTCATCACAGATTATCTATAAGCTGTTTTTGTCAGTAATTCTCCAGGTCAGATGAAAAGGGTGAAACTTAGTCAAACCCTGACACTAATTCATTTTGCAGCGGAGCAGGCAAAAGGTATGTAATCTGATATTTCGTCATCTTCCAAAAAGAGATGGCACGCAGTCTGAGTTTTTGTATATGTTATTCCAGATAACATTGATTTGTCTAATGAGTGTTTGCCAATAAAACAAAAATGTATGAATGCCTTGAAATGGTCCAATTCAGGTACATTTTTTCAGAAACTCTGAACTCTGTAACGTGAAAATTTAACTTTATCAGCCATCCAAAACACTTACCATGAAATGTATCATTTGTTTGTAGAAATCATAAAATACATGTAGTAAACATATCTGTAGAGTAGGGAGGGTGAGTGTAAGCTCACAGCACTTAGGCCACATGTGACCCATTGTACATCCTCCCGAAGAGTTATCCTCCTAGGTCATCGTCCATCCTGTCCTTTCCAGGAAGGTGGACAGGTCACTGGGAGACATCTACTTTAAATCGGCAGGTGTAGGTCAAGACTCGACGAACACACACTCTCTTATTGATGATAACTCCGTGCACTCGCATAGGTTATGCCTGACAGTCTCATCTTCCTGCATATAGGTGTGTTTACTAGCCGCATATTATGGAGGTGTTTCCTTAGTTGACAGGGGCCAGTCAGAAATCTTACTGTTAAGCGTAGATTTTTTCTGGTCATCGCCAGATATTTCTTCGACGCCAGCTTCCCAGGGTCGTCCAAGGATTGAGCATGGGTGTAAAATTTGGCTAGTTCCGCAATTGTCGAAGTCATCAGGCCGTAGGTGCCACTGGGTCCTAAAATTCTTAGTCCAGTCGCTTCCTTGGCTAAAGAGTCGGCAATGCGATTACCATTACTCCTGTCGTGCCCTTTAACCCACTTCAGGATAATGTTATTATCTACCGAGGCTTTGGATAAATCTTGGTGACACTCTTGTACTAGCCCTGAGGTTACAGGTTGTCTGTTCAAGGCTAATAGGGCTTACTTGCTGTCAGTGCAGATTGTTATATTTTTGCCAGAAATTAATTTCCTGGTTCTTCTTCTGTGGCGATTGAGATACCAGATAGCAAACAGAGCTGGACTACGCTGGTATTTTTTCCCATTTCCCACTTAATTCTTAGACTTGGTGATCTGAAGTACACTCCACATCCTGAGTTTTCTTTGGTTTTTGAGCCGTCTGTAAATATGCGTATTGCATTTGTAGCATCTGACTCTCTGTTCTGTTTTATTTGTATTTTGTAGGGTTTATCAAACACAAACTTCGGTTTAATTGCATCACTGGTTTAATTGCATCACTGCAGCAGAGGTTGTGCAGTAAGCGCTTCCCGCCATAGGCCCAGCCACAATTGACCCATTCCTACACCAGCCGTGCGTAATCGTACTATGGCCATTAACGCAACCTCCTCAACGTACAGGTCCAGAGGGGTCAGACCCGTAATTCCATACCAGTAATCTACTCGGTAGTTCAGAAAGAAGGAATGCTCAATGAATACTTTACACAAAGCAAGAGTGAGCCATTTGAGTAGGCAAATTTCGTCAGCGTGTACGTCACGGTGCAAGGGACGAGTTTGTGGTAATGGTTCTGGTCAGGAGCATGTCAACCTGAGATGATTTTGAGTGACGGTTCAGGAACGAAAGTAAAGTGTATCACGTCAGTTACCATATTTGTGTTGCGCATTATTTTAGTGGAAACCTTTTCCTCAGTGTAGGTGAGTTATTTCAATAATATAATTTCTCGAACCACTACTATAACTAGGATCATTTTCTGTAGATCTGCCGGTTTCCATTAAGCTACGAGCAAGTACAGCCTTTGGTATTTTCCAAGGAACTTGGGTTGTCCAACCGTCGCGAACGTTTTGTCTGGTTTGGAATCCTTTTGGATCTCCAAATACCGTTTTTTTGCTATCGAACATTTTTGGGAAGAGAAAAGTTTAGTTGCTTCACTTCAAAATATACTACATTCAGACTCTACTCGGACCCTGAGATAGCCTGTTGCTGGTAACATCCAAAAAAAGGACTCATATGGTGAGGAATTTCCAATTTTTTTTCCACGTCGAAGTTGATTTCTGTTACAAAGATAACTTATTTTTGGAGACCAACCAAATACCTTGTTGTTTCCCTTTTGAATTGAATGTGCATGCATCGAACGTTTCAAAAATCATTTTGTGTCGCCTTGATGAGAGTCATATGAATTTATACATAGTTTCTTTTGAAAGATTCTACTGCACCTGCAGCGGCGTCGTATTATTTCATTTGTTATGTTACCGGATGATATACTTTCTTTATAAAAAAAGCTGCTTTCTGGCTATCATATTTTTGAGTTAATCTGAAACAAGGATTCTTTTAGTACAATCAAAATCAAGTGGCACCCCATCTATAAAAAAAACCAAGACCACTGCTCTCCCAATAATATTTACCTTCGTTGGCGACTTGTTACCTCTTTTTGAAATTCTCTCTTAGTCGCCGAATATCGATAATCATAAATATTATTAACAGAAAAAGTTGATAGCTCTTTTTGTTGATCTAACCTAACGCCATGCCACTTACTGGCAAGGATATTAGCAGCTCCATAACCTTCCAGACCATTATCGCCAGGAATCCAGACCAGATAGAATTTGTTTCACTTGAAATTCAGACGTATAGTTACCTAGACAGGTTGATATATTTATCCTGGATCGGCGACTGTATACACCTACACCAAAATATGAAGCTGTTTTTGATACATCTATGAAATAACGGTTATCTGCTCCCAGTATTTTTCTCTCCCGGATGATCTGATCTTCTCTACTAGAAAAAAGGAATGAGTAAGGCAGTTTGTAGTTGACAGTTGAAGACATTCTACTATACTCCGATTTTCACCTGTTTTGTGCAACTGGCGAAGTACACTATTCCGGATGTTTTCATCCAGCTTCTGTCCTCAGAAAGATGAAAAGGAGGTAGATTCAGAAGGTTTTCTTCGACCGCTGTTGGTACGGTGCTGTTAGCACCAAAGATAGTTGGAATGTGTCTAATATACACTGCTGAGCCGTTTACTGTATAACTTTCGGCTACTAGTCATTGGGACCATACGTGATCATTGGTCTGACAATCCTCACCTATATACCATAGATTTGTTTGGAGCCTGAACCCCAATATTTTTCACAAACCCTTCGACATGTCCAAAGAAACAGTCTCGTTCTGTGCTAAATCTTTGACAAGTGAGAATTCCAGATAAGTTTCCAATAAAAAATTGCACCAAGTCATCTCTGCTGGAATAACCTCTTTACTGAAGGAGCACTGTGATTTGAATCATCATATTTAGACACCCAGACTGTCGTAAGACAGTGCCTGTTATTTTTGTTTTGATATTGATGAAATAACAGAACCCATAATTTGTGCCTGCCTCGCAGCGGACTAAATCTGATTTTCATCTGATGAAGGTAGCTTATACAGGATCAACAACAAGTTTTCGATACTGGCTCAGAATTGAATCGAGTTGAACGTTTCATAATATTTTCCTAATTACGATGCTATAGTCAAATCTCGAATACAGCTATCAATAAAAAATGTATATGATACATATAGTTTCTTCTTATTGAACAAAGGCACTCAATCAATCTTCTAACCATCTCCAAGAATTTAAATATTTTTTATAATTTCGGTATCCGACTCTACTATTTCTTTACTATTCATAAAAACTTCACATCTGGAAAAAAATCTTCACACGCCGATTATTATTCAATGTTTCAAAAAATATGCTGTGTGATAGTATGTACCTCTACCATTTTGTAGTATTTGAAGCAATTTCGAAAGAATGGGTTTTCTAATCATTACTCATCACTAATTACTTCAACTATTATATTCTCGTATTGGTGCGATATGATTCATCATTTATGAAAAATTAAATCGTTTCCAATATGACAGGTATATATTCTCGCAAAATATGTGCTGCAAAGATTTTTACAGGAAATTAATTCTCAAGAGATCAAACATCTCTTCATTACGTTATTTACCGTATTCAATGATTCATTTTCCGGAGCCGATTTCTTTGACTGTACTACATGGACATTCATAGTTTACATTACAAACTCTCCGTATTGGGCAGAAAAACGAACTTTTCGAACACTTATATCGTGTTTGTACAAAATATCCTGTTTTCAGAGGTACGCATAGAACCACATAGTTTTATCGACAAGTAGTTTCATTCCAATTTGGAAATCTGCTTCTACCATAACAAGTGAAAGGTTTCAAATTCTCATTGTAGGTACAAACCTTCGACAAAGGATGAAACTGCATTAAATTTGATGAAATATGAGTTTCTTCCTCGTTGTTGTCGACTCCCGCTTCATTGGTTGTTCTATTTTCAGAGACAAACCTTTCGGCATGTACTGATCGGGTGAATCTTCTTTTGTCAGTACTACATGGGCATTCATAGTTTACATTACACATCCTCAGTATTGGGCAGAAAAACGAACTTATCGGACACGTATAACGTGTTTGTACAAAATATTCTGTTCTCAAAGGTACGCATAGATATTATGATCGACAAGTAGTATGATTTCAATTTGGAAATCTGCCTCTAACATAGCAAGTGAAAGTCTTCAAATTCTCATTGTAGGCACAAACTTTGGGCAAAGGACGAAACTGCAATAAATTTGACGGAACATTCATTTCTTCTTCATTGTGGTCGACTCCCGCTTCATTGGTTGTTCCATTTCCAGAGACAAATCTTTCAGCATCTACTGATCGGGTGAATCTTCTTTTGCCAGTACAAATGGGCATTCATAGTTTACATTACACACCCTCAGTATTGGGCAGAAAAACGAACCTTTCGGACATGTATAACGTGTTTGTACAAAAGATTCTGTTCTCAGAGGTACGCATAGATAGTATGATTGACAAGTAGGATCATTCCAATTTGGAAATCTGCCTTTAACATAGCAAGTGAAAAGTTTAAAATTCTCATTGTAGGCACAAACTTAAAAACTTGACATCTGGAAAAATTATTTATACGCTGATTATTATTCTATGTAAAAAAAATATACTGTGTGATAGTATGAAACATTATTATATTTAAAAAGTCTGTTTTTCAGATTTTGGTGATACTTCTCCTCACATCCGTTATGGTACAAAATCTTGGTGCTCATGTACACAACCACTTGTGCAAAAGAGATGCATTGGAAGACGATGAAGCCAGTAACCGTAAGAACAAAATAAACATCGTTGTCACAGTCAAAAACGCTCAACATGATAATTGTCAAGAAACTACACAAACAACCACACCCACGTCAAATACTACGTGCCAAGAAACAACCACAGAGTCGTTCACTTGTGTCAAACCAGGCTCGTACCCCAACCCTGACAACTGTACCGATTTTTTCATTTGTCACAAAAATGGAGCTATTCCTGGTTTAGAGAGAGTGAAGATGAGTTGTCCCAGTGGTCAGGCATTCGACTACAAGGAACATAAATGTACTCCCGGAGCTGCTATTTCTTGTCTGTCACAAAAGAGCCTCAGTTTATCATGATTATAGTCTTCTGAGTAATATATGTTTCATTCTTACACCAAATTTATGTTAAGTAGTCTCCAATTGCTTGAGTATTAAATAATTGGTTCAAAACAAGCACTTGTATCAAAAACCAGAACTGCGATACTCTTTTTGAAGCGCTTTTTGGCGTCATTAACACGCATAGGAATGGCTTATTTTATCTAATGCGTATTTCTATTTAGTTGGAGTTTCAAAATAGCATCTTTTGCTGAAATGCCCGCACTGAAAAAAAATAGATTTTTCGATCGGAACACGTGTGTTTAGTAAACTGTTTAGTGGAAATCTCATAAACTTGAATAAACTATGGAGTATCGGCCAATTCCATCAAAAACTACAAATGTGTCCTAGTTTAAATTCCCAAATTCCACTGATATTGATATGGTATTTTTTCAATTCAAGTTGCCTAAAATACCTCCTCAATATTCGTCATCATCTCTTGGAATATTTGTCGTTTATTCTCTGTAATTGTCAATCAAAAATATGTAACAGTCCGATTTACATTACCATAAATAATGACTATCGTGATGATTTCATCAATTATTCAATATTTTCAGTTGAACTCGAGCAAAAGTTGAATCCTTTTTAATATTATCATTCTTACAATAAAACAAATGTACTGAATATTTTCAAGTGAAGATGAAAACAGATCTTGACTCGTGATGCACTGTTTGGAACCTTTGATGTGGTGATGAATATTGATGGAGTTTTATCCCAACACTAAACCGTTATGTCAACACCTTGACACGTGTTTCGATCACCAAGTGATCATCCTCGATCGTCCTCTTGAGGATGATCACTTGGTGATCGAAACACGTGGGATGGAACTGCAGTAATATACAGATCTTGAATTTATCAATCACGATATCATTCAAATTGGAGTTCATGAAAAATAAGAATTTAAACTTTCTATGTTTTTACCACTTTTTTTGTAAGTAACGTTACTACAGATTCGTCATATGAGGATATTTTCAAACTTATACATTAAACTATAAGTTTGATATAACTAATATGTATACAGTGTGATCCACTAAGTCTGCAACAAATGGGAAACTTTTTTATTATCGATTTCTCAGAAAATGTTATTCTTGACAAAAGTTGGTGAAAAACTATACCAAGTGTACCTGGAACGACTTTATGACAAACACCATACAGGATAGGCCATAAAATATAAAGTTCGTTCAAGAGTAAAGTACCCTTATTTCAAAAAATATAGAAATATATTGAAGAGAAAAGTTGCTTAGAAATAAAAGTTATGTTCAGATACGAAGTCATGGCCTGCTATTCTAATTTTTTCTCTTTTAGAAAATATTGAATTACCCCCGTATGATACATATTTTTACTATTTTGATTTAATATGTATTTGAAGTAGCCTCAATCAAATTAGTTTGGAGTTTTATCAAATTAAAGTGTATTTATAAAACTTACTTAGATTTGTATTTTTTTTAGGTGACCGTCAACTCCATGTTTGTTGCAACGATATTTAACAGAACTCTAGAATAAAACAAATACTCTTTTTAACGAGGCAAATACTTTACTAACTAAATGTCAATAAAAGTATAAAATTTCTTTCATTCTGACAACAATGCCTCAACTAGAACAGATATTAAAAAACAATCCAAAATCTATCGCGGATAGATAGCCATGAACAAAAAACACATACGCCCTAAAACAATAATACTGTAGTTTGATAGTGTGGCTTCTTAAAACTTCCCTGTAAAACGTCTTCATATTTGTCCTTTATTAAAAATGCCTCGCTCAGTATCATTAACGTTAACTGAAAAGGCAGAATTAGTTTTAATCTGTGGTGATGGTTATTAAACAATGCGCGAAGCTACAAATATTTTCAACGAGCGGCATCCAAACAAACAAATTTGCTATTCAAGGGTAAGTAGAATTTTAAAGAATTTCAAACAGACCAGCTCACTAGAATATAAACATAATACGGAGCGTACGAAACCTGTATGCACAGAAGAAAACCAGCTTGACGTACTTCAAGCAGTAGTAGAAAATCCTAGAAGGTCCACCCGAGAAATTAGTAACTCTACCGGCATAAAAAAGCCTCTGTGAAGCGTATTCTCAAGAAACATAAGTACCATGCTTACAAACCTACATTCATTTGTACATTTCAAGAAAGAGACTATGATTTGAGATATGATTTTTCCATGTGGATTCAGAGTGAAATAGAAGAACAACGATATTTTCATCGATGTATTCTGTTTGGAGATGAATCTACTTTTATAACAAATGGGGTTCTATCATCATAAAATTGCAGATGGTGGTCAGATGTCAACCCAAATTTTATTATTGACAACAAAAATCAATACTATCAGAAAACAAACGTTTGGTGTGGAATATTGAATGATAAATTACTAGGTCCGTTTTTTTTCCGCGAGATTTGAATAGTGACAGGTACTTGAACTTTGTGGAAACTGAAATAGGAGAGTTTTTGGATAATATGGTATTAGAAGAACGGAAAAAGTTATGATTCCAACATGATGGATGTCCTGCCCATTCTACTAGAAATTTTTCTAAGTGGCTGAATAGGACATTTCGCAATAAATGGTTAGGACGAAATACCGATCCTCGATGGCCTCCGCCTTACCTTACACCACTAGATTATTTCTTATGGGGATACTCAAAACAAAAAATCTACAGAGATCGCTCCTTTAATAATGTTGATGAGCTTGAAACTTCAATACGAGTCCATTGCAGAAATATTTCCGCTAATGTGTTGCGATCTACATCAAACGAATTTTATGAGCGAACAATTAGATGCATCGAAAGAGAAGGTGGACATACAGAGACGCTTCGATAATTTTTATTGTTGGCACCTGTTAAGTTGTTGAGTTACCTACTGTATTTTTCTGTACTATCGCTTATTGGTTCTTTTTTGTTCATAGCTATCCGCGATAGATTTTGACAGTTTATTCATATGAACATAATACTTAGTAAAGTATTTGCCTCGTTAAAAAGAGTATTTGTTTAATTCTAGAGTTCTGTTAAATATCGTTGCAACAAACATGAAGTTGACGGTCATATAAACAAATACAAATCCAAGTAAATTTTACAAATACAATTTAATTTGATAAAAATACTCCAAAATGATTTGATTGTGGCTACTTGAAATACATATTAACTCAAAATAGTAAAAATATGTATCATACGGAGGTAATTCAAAATTTTCCAAAAGAAAAAAAAATTGAATAGCAGGCCATGACTTCGTATCTGAACATAACTTTTAATTCTAAGCAACTTTTCTCTTCAACATATTTCTATATTTTTTTAAATAAGGGTACTTTACTCTTGAACGAACTTTATATTTTTTGGCCTATCCTGTATGGTGTTTGTCATAAAGCTATTTCAGGAACACTTGGTACAGTTTTGCACCAACTTTTGTCAATAATATAATTTTCTGAGAAATCGATAATAAAATAGTTTTCCATTTGTTGCAGACTTAGTGGACCACACTGTATAATTAAACTATAAGTTTGATATAAGTTTGGAAATGTTCTTATAGGACGAAACTGCAGTAACGTTAGTTACAAATAAAAGTGGAAAAAACATATAATGTTTCAATTCTCATTTTTCATGGTGCTTTCCTACCACATAGTAACGGCTACATCCATCAATTTATTAAAAGTAGAGTTATTTTTCAACTTGGAAATGGAAATGAAAGTTTTTTCAAGTTTCGATAAACGAACATCTGTTGAAACTATTAACGTTAACTGTGTTAATGTGGAATAAACGTTCTCAGGAAGTTCAATCCACATTAACACAGTTCCCTGAATGAAAGAGTTTCCAAACAGTGAAGTTCGAGGTGTACTGTGTTGAACCTCAAAACGATGAGCAATCACAGTTCGTTGCGTGGAATCAAATGTGCCAAGTCATTTGAACACTTCCCGTGGTAGTATCCATAGAAGAGAGATAAATCCCCAACCTTTCTTCGATGTTCTACACCATCAGAGTTACAAGTGATGTTCGCGTTTCCAATCAGACGAAGGGCTCTTGTCTGGATGGAATCCAGCAGCTTCAGGGTATGCTTAGGAGTTTGTTTAAAGGTGGTTGACAATGTTTCGTGGTGTATTTCATCAGTTCGGACTTCCATTGTCTAATATAATATACATTGATTTGATAACCCTGAAAAAAATCAAAATGATTAACCGAAAATAACAATTTTATTGAACAAAAAACTGAAATTACAAGGAAATAACATGTAACAACAACCAAACAAATAATAATTGAAATATTATTAAAAGCTGAAAAAAATTGAAAAAATCAAAAATATGATTAACAAGAAATGAAAAAATAAAAATTAAAAGATTTCAAACCAANTCCTAATATGATTGATAACCAGTCCGTGCAAACATCCTTTTTGTGGATTTTGGGTAGTCCATACAAGTGAGGGGGCTTACTGTGGTGCGGTGTTAGCGATGATCTATCTTTTTCCGTAAAATAGACTTGGTGTGTTTTCAAAGTCTGGTACAACTTCCTTTCAATTGATGCAGTAGGGTCTCTTACGATCTTCGTGTGTTTCTCTTTCTGAAGCACCTCTGTTCTGTTCGTAGAGATCAGTATCCATCACAACAGTAGCGTTTCCTTATCTGCAGGTGAGATTTTGGTGGTGTTGTCTCTACGTAGCCCATTGGCTAGGTCCTAGTTGGAACTGGTTCTCGATCTAGCTGTTCTCTGATTTTCCATCTGAATTCTTCTGCCTCGATCTGATCAATAAGGGAACTGGTGGATTCTACTGCAGTTATTATTTCGAATTTATTTATTGATATTTGAATTTTCATTTGTTTGGTTGTTGTTGCAAGTTATTTCTTTGTAATTTCAGTTTTTTGTTTAATGAAATTGTTATTTTCGGTTAATCGTTTTGATTTTTTTCAGGGTTATCAATTTATACTATACAAGAAGGGAGAGAGTGAGAGATATTTACTCACAATCATATTTCGGATTGATTAAAAGCAATGGGAATAGACACGAATTAATAGGGTTTATTTAATGATTCTTCTATACGTAGCCTGCAATAAGCTTGGTTTATTAACGATAGCATATCCAACTATAGTCGAAGACGAATATGCTACAGAGGCTTCTGTTATGGGGAAAATCAAATACCACGAACACAAATGGCTCATATGTGTAGATCCAAAAATGGTGAATTTTCTGTTCGGACAACAAGGAGGCTATACAAAATATCTTTGTTCTATTTGTCTGTGGGGCAGCAGAGCTAATTCTCAACACTGGGTTCAAAAAGACTGGCCTTCCAGGCAGGTTGTGGCTCCAGAGAATCTGAATGTGATGAAAAATAAAACACCAGTACCTAGGGATCGCATAATACTGCCGCCTCCGCATATCGAGAAAGGGATCATGCAACAATTTGTCGAAGCTCTGAATGAGAATTTACCCATATTATAAAACCTGAAATTTGAATTGAAGGGGTTATATATTTAGGAGTGATTAATTTTTGGGAGAACTTTCTTTCAGTTTATGTCTGAAAGTTACTTCTTTGCATGATCTACACATCCATGTATAGAGTTACTTATTTTCAAATTGATTACTTCCTTTCTTTCTTTGGAAGATTCCCTCATCCTTTTTTTTTCAAGATGGATTAGTAGAAAGCCAAAAACTTTCTTTTCCAAAAACCTGAAATGTTTCATAATATGAGTCCAGAGAAACTGAAAGATGGAATTTTCAATGATCCACAAATACGAAGGTTGATAAAAGATGAAAACTTCGATTGTTAAATGACTGATATTGGAAAAAATGCCTGGAATGAATTCGTCTGGATAGCACAAAATTTTCTGGAAAACAAAAAGAATGAAAGCTATGCTGAGCATGTTGAAAAAAGATTGTCGCACTTCCAGTAGCTTAGTTGTAATATGAGTATGATTGTACATTTCCTACACAGCCATTCATATCATTTCCATGAAAATCTTGGTGATATCAGTGAAGAAGAGCGGGAACGGTTCCATCAAGATAATTGAATAGATGAGCGGTATTAGGGTCACTGGGATGCTTACATGATGGCGGATTATTGTTGGAACATCAAAAATAGCCCATGTGAACCAAGTCAAGCAAGAAAATCCTATAATTNTTAAATGACTGATATTGAAAAAAATGCCTGGAATGAATTCGTCTGGATAGCACAAAATTTTCTGGAAAACAAAAAGAATGAAAGCTATGCTGAGCATGTTGAAAAAAGATTGTCTCACTTCCAGTAGCCTCAAAAACTGAAGCTGTTACAAAAAATCAGATCTAAATCAGCACACTAAAAATGTATCTGTATCTGTAGAGTAGGGAGGGTGAGTGTAGGCCCACAGCACTTAGGCCACTTGTACATCTTCCCGAAGAGTTGTCCTCGTAGGTCATCGTCCATTCTACCCTTTCCAGGAAGGTGGACAGGTCACTAGGAGACATCTCCTTTATATCGGCAGGTGTAGGCCAAGACTCGCCGAACACTTACTCCCTCATTAACGATAACTCAGGACACTCGCATAAGACATGCCTGACAGTTTCATCTTCTTATTCACACATCCTGCATAGAGGTGTGGTCCTGGGTCCTAAAATTCTTAGTCCAGTCGCTTCCTTGGCTAAAGAGTCGGCAATGCGATTACCTTTACTCTTGTCGTGCCCTTCAATCCACCTCAGGATGTTTTTATCTACCAAGACTTTGACTAAATCTTGGTGGTACTCTAGTACCAGCCCTGAGGTAACACGTTATCTGTTCAAGATTAATAGGGCTCGTCTATTATCAGTGCAGATTGTTATATTTTTGCCAGACATTTCTTTCCTGGTTATGTCTTTTGTGGCGATTAAGATACCAGCTAGTTCTGTTTGAACAACGCTGATATTTTTTCCCATTCCCCACTCAATTCTTAGGCCTAGTGATCTGGAGTAAACTCCACATCCTGACCCCAAAAATATATATTAACAGTCATAATATTCCGTGTAACAAAAACTCTGTTCACTTTTGATCAAAGTATCGTGAAACCCCTAAAAATGCGATATGGACAACAATATTTAAATCGAGTATTCAAGAACCAAATTTGGAAGAACATCAACAATCACAAGATTCCTTCTAGGTATCACCTTCTGAAGACACCAACTTGGTTGGTGAAACGCGCGTCGAGAAGAGTATTACATTTCTGGAAAAAGCGCTTGAGTTTTTCATAAAATAAAATGAAACAGAAACGGTTGATACTGATGAGAAGATACAAACAAAACATTCAAAAAACTTCGTGAGAACTATATGCAACACATTAAGGAATAAAATACCACAGGGTGTCGTGAAGCTAGAAATATCCAACTGAGATACGCGCTCACTCAAACTTTGGTTTTATGAGAATCCCGTGTGACTCGTTTGCGAGATAATAACTTCAAGCAGAAAATCTGTACCTTTCTGGTGAAATTGTCTGTCGACACTAGTGGGTTTATATAATACTATCTCTTATCCATTCTGGCTTGTGACAGTTTGGACAGCGGCAGGTGGGCCGATAAACAATTTTCAAGATGAGAACAAATGCAATCGGATGGGATTTATCGAATACAAAACTCCTAAAAGTATGCTCTGCACTGTCCACATACAGTGTGTCTCACTTCTCATGAAAACACCCCCGTATCTTCCGTAATAATTGAACCAGAATGATGAAACACTCAGTGATATACACTGCCCGCCACTCCTCTAAACTGAAGTGAAACAGATCTTTTTGCGGTTACACACAATCTCTAACTGTTTGTAGGTACCTGTTCAAATATCTTAAGATTATTCGCAAAAAGGAAGCATTCGAAAACCGTCAACATAGATGACAGATCATCAATAAATATAACAAATGAAAAAGGTCCTAGATTAGAGCCTTGTGATACTCCTGAACTAGCAAGAAATTACTAGGAGTGTTCATCATGTCTCACTATGAGAAATTAATTTTTCAAATAACTTTCAATAAATTTCAATGAATGTCTTGTTAATCCATAATAATTCAATTTTCGTAATAGAATGTCATGATCTACTTCGTCAAAGGCTTCGAAAAATCGATGAAAATCCTATCAAGTTGTATTTTGTTTTATAATGTGTGGCATTTTTTACTAAAAATAAACAAAACAAAATTTATCGATTTACTTGCTGATGAATTTCTCCAGATAAAGTAATAAAGTTTTGTATAAATACTAGTACTATGTTGCTGTATCGCTGCTGTTCTAGTGTTTTGACTGAATCAGAATCAACGAACTTAGGCGTGCGCAGCGTTATCGAACAGTGCTTTCAAAAAATTGTTCTACAGCGCCATCTAGTGGCAAGTTACAGAAAAATTGATAGCCCAAAAACCTTCTCTATGAAAAATTACTTACACATGTCAAGTTTCATCACGATCGGTTGAGCGATATAGAAGTTTATCACTTACCAACCAACCAACCAACCAACAAACATCCATTTTGTATATTATATTAGACAACGGAAGTTCGAACTGATGAAATACATGCTTAGGGGTATATAAAGAAACAAATAGTTTTCTTTAAAATACAGTTTATTCAGCTTCCGAACTAAAATTGATACAATTCATGCAGAAAAATAATGCAAATGTTTCGTTACTATTTTAAATATAAGCAGACAAATTTGAGATTATCCATTTTACATCAGATATCGAGAACAACTGAAAATAGATATAATTTTTGATCTCTCATAACTTAGTAATACCTATATTAGCTACAGGAGGCAACTCATTCTATATTAAAATATACATTTACATATGTTTTGACTCTTACGTCTGATACATTTCAACTCACTACAAAAAAAAATCAATCCATTGAGCAATCATTTGTTAAATTTTTAAAATTCTGTACATATATGAAAATTTATCATAGAATTAACCTGTGAAAATTTTACAAAAACAAATATTTTCTGTAATACAATACCTGAAATGTATACATTTTGGGTTCTTTCAAAAATGAAGTACATATTTGACATCATCAATTGAAAGTGATTCTAATTGAAGTTTTGAAATGTATTTTCATATCAGATTTTGAGGAACTGAGCAGACAGGTACACGACAGGGATTAAAATAATATCAATAGGTACTTAAAAGGCTTTGTAACCTGATGCGTTTGAAAACAGTATATCACTGAAAATTCTTTAACTCCTTGAAAGTTCTATTAAATTTTTTCTATAAAATTCGTACTAGTTCTAAATTACCTTGTTATATATAAGACTCTATTTATCGAAAACTTACAGTTTCTGATAATTGAATATTCTTCCAAAACAAGATTTCTGCTTATGAGCATTTCATAATCATCTTCATTTATTCGAAAATAAATTTCACTGCTTGTAGCAGGTTGAAGAATTCTGACTGAGTAGGCAAAAGTTGATCGCGCCGAAAGGTGCAGATTTTACATCATACAAACAAATTCCTGGTGTATTAAACAGTCTTACTATTAACTAAGTGACAACAAAAATACTATATCTAAAAGAAACGCAGAATTCAGTCATTATTTTTAGTTCGATATAGAGAATATATAAAATTGTGCTTTGCGAGCTGTGCATGAAGAATAGTACGAGTAATGCTAATCTTACAATCGCTTGTTGAGAGGACTAACTTGCTTTGTCTTGACCAAGATGCCTATATATCTTGTCTTGTTGAGGCACGATTTCTTACACGAGAAATCTTCCCTTGTCTCTTTCGAAACAACAAAACGAGACAAAAGATGAGAATCTCTTGTTTCGATGGCAACACCACTTCACCAGATGTTCGGATCGCCATCATAAGTGGAGAAATAAGAGAGAAGTATAAATTGTCGAAGTAGATATATTTTCTATACCTCCCTCAGTATTCCAATGAGAGAAAATGAAAGATTATCGAAATTTTCAGTTGTTCAATCAAAATACAGGTGGGGGTGATTATAAAATATATGAATACAAATTATTTTCTACTCGAAGAGAAAATTTGCTCGCTGGAGCATATTTGTCATTAGTTCCTACGATAACACTGCCAGATGCGTATTTTATGCACCTCAAGAAAATACTGCGTTATTATTTTGTGGGATTGATAGGATTTATAAATTTCAGTATCCAGATACATTGAAGTTAGTCGTGGTGAATCAAGGAAACTAGTTGATATTTACTCAGATTTACAATACAGAAACATCACTACCATTTTGTAGCATTGGAAGCAATTTCGAAAGAATAGATTTCATAATCATTACTAATCTAATCATAACTCATCACTACTGTACATATTGTACTCATGTATTGGTGCGATATGATTCATCATTTATGATAAATTAAATCGTTTCCAATATGACGGGTATATATTCTCGCAAAATTTGTATTGCAGATTGTTACAGAAAAATAATTCTCGAGAGATCTAACATCTTTTCTTTATGTTATTTACCGCATTCAATGATTCATTTTCTGGAGCCGATTTCTTTGCCTGTACTACATGGACATTCATAGTTTACATTACAAACTCTCAGTATTGGGCAGAAAAATGAACCTTTCGGACACGTATAACGTGTTTGTACAAAATATCCTGTTCTCAGAGGTACGCATAGATAGTATGATCGACAAGTAGGATCATTCCAATTTGGAAATCTGCCTCTAACATAGCAAGTGAAAGGTTTCAAATTCTTGTTGTAAGCACAAACTTTCGGCAAAGGACGAAATTGCAATAAATTTGATGAAGCATTCATTTTTTCCTCGTTGTCGTCGACTCCCACTTCATTGGTTGTTCCATTTTCAGAGACAAACCTTTCAGCATCTACTGATCGGGTGAATCTTGTTTTGTCAGGACTACATGGGCATTTATAGTTTACACTACATACTCTCAGTAGTGGGCAAAAGCAAGAACCCTGTGGGCACTTATATTGTATTTGTACGAAAGATCCCGTTTTCAATGGTACGCAAAGATAATATGTTTCACAAGTTGGATCATTCCAGTTTGGAAATCTACTTCTTCTGTTGCAAGTAAAAATTTTTATTGTCCCAGTATATGCAGATGCTGTTGGCAAATTATGAGAGAGTCCGGCATTTTTTGAATCATTCTTTTTCCGCATAACCTGCATGATTTTTGAAGTATTAGCTGATTCGTTTCTAATGACTGGCCTTTCACTGCCTATTGAGCGACTTAGCCTTCTTTTTTCACTACTGCATGGACATTTATAGTTCACATAACAGAGTTTCAGTTGTGGGCAGAAAAATGAACCTGTTGGACACGTATATGGTATTTGTTCGAAAGATCCTGATTTCGTTGGTACGCAAAGATAATATGTTCGACACGTGGTATCATTCCAATTTGGAAATCGGCCACTGCTATTGCAAGTGAAAGGTTTTGAATATTCGCATATATTCATGGAGGAATCGAATGAGCTCAAGTCTGCAAATCTTCTTTGATCATGGATAACATTCTCGTTAACTTCACTATCATTCTCAATGCCTTCAGTAACACTTTTGTCGTCTGACCCTGTCATTCCTATTGATCGCACCAGCCTATTGCCCCTCTTTGTGACACTACAAGGACATATGTAATTCACATCACACATTTGCGACCGTGGATTAAAGTTTGATTTTTTTGGACAGTCATATAACATTTGATGAAAAGAACCATTTTCCAAAAACTTACAGATATAGTAAGTTCTGCACGTGTGATCATTGAGATTCGGATATATACCTTGAGAACTGCAATTGAAATGAAGTGGATCTTTCAACTGATTACAAGAGTCCTCCTCAGGAGTGACGGATGATGACTGGATTGGTTCAGAATCCTCGAGATGAATAGATAGAGATGTTGTACTTTCTGCATATTCGTCCGTTGAAGAGTCTATTATTCTTGTAACTTCTTTCATTTCTATGACTTTCTGTATGTTTTTTGTTGTATTAAGTTGATGTTGGCATGAATAATATGGACTACATATTCGGAAGGTATGGTCAAAAAATGTACCTTCTGGACATGTCGAATATATTGACAAATATGACAATGAAAATCGAATGCAAACATGAAATTTCCTGCACGTTGAATCTTGGGAATCTGCAAATACTCCTACCGAAGGGCAGAAAAATTCCATTCGTTCTGTTTGTGAGGCTGTAGAAGTGGTACAGGGACACTTATAGGAGTATTCACATACTTGTAGAACCGGATTGAAGAACGACATGAAGGGACACGTATAAATGGATCTATTGAATAATCCATTTCTGAGCAAAGTGCAAGAATAATATGTCTGACAGGTGAAATCCATCAAATTAGGATACTTTCCTTCGGTACTGCAGGTTGAATACTTTGAATCATTGACATGTTTACAGTGATCTCGTTCGGAGGTGGTAAACTCGTTCATATCTGATGTGGTTTTTGAAATATGTGGACACGAATAATGTTGACTACACATGCGATGTGACGGATCAAAAAATGTACCTGTTGGACATGTTGAATGAATAGAGATGAACGACATAAGAGATCTTATACAAACGTAAAACTGTCTACACGTTAAGTCACTCTCGTCTTGAAATATTCCTGTTGAAAGACAGGTGAAAGCGATATCATTTTTTTCATTCGACATAGACGTAGTTATTCCATTTGAAGTTTCTGACTCATTTGTTAGGTTTGTGAAAATAGTTGTGTCAGTAATAGTGTTACACTTGCATTTGTAGTTAACCTCACAAGCGTGAGTTACTGGATTAAAGTACGATGCGATTGGACAACTCTGAAGAGTTTGCGAAAATGAACCTATAATTAACTTTTTACAAATGTAGTATGTGCTACAGGTGAGATCATTCAAATTAGGATATTTTCCATTGGAGAAGCAAGTGAAATGTGATGACGCAATGCTAGTGCAATTATTTGTTATTGAAGTTGAAGGAACTTCAATTGTAGTGCTAGTTGACTTTTGGATATGGGGACATGAATAGAATGGACTGCACAAACGGAGTAATGGATCAAAAAGTGTACCCGGTGGACATGTTGAGTGAACGGAAACATATAACAAGAAAGATTTTGTACAAATATAATACTTTTTACATTCAAAATCTTGAGTATCTTCAAAAATTCCTGTTGAGGAACATACAAATTCGTGTTGCTTTTTTTCTGTCTTGCTAGTTCTATATTTGTCTATGGGTTCATTTGTAAGATGTTCAAATGTAGTGGTAGTTGACATAGGGACATGTGGACATGAATAAAATGGACTGCACAAACGAAGTAAAGGATCGAAAAATGTAGCCGGTGGACATGTAGAGTGAACGGAAACATATAACAAGAAAGATTTCGTACAAACATAGTACTTTTTGCATTCTAAATCCTGAGGATCCTCGAATATTCCTGTTGAGAAACATACAAATTCGTGTTCGATTCTTTCTGTCACGCTAGTTCCATATTCGTTTGTGGGCTTATTTTTTACAGTCGTTAGAGGTTCAGCTGTAGTGGTAGTTGACTTTGAGATATGTGGACATGAATAAAATGGACTGCACAAACGAAGTAATGGATCAAACAATGTACCCGATGGACATGAGGCATAAACGGAAATATATAACAAGAAAGACTGTATGCAGACATAGAACCTTTTACAACGTTGATCTAGTGGATCTTTGAACACTCCTGTAGAGGTACATGAAAATTCGGGTTTGCCCGATTCTGTAATCCCACTTTCAGTTACTTGATCATCCACTCCTTTTGTTGAAAATGTTGTAGAACAAGGACATTTGTAGAAAGCATCGCACGTTTTTGATGTTGGATTGTAAAGAAATGTTGCTGGACATTTTTGGAGTATTTGAATGAAGGTACCATTTTCTTGCAGACTACAAAGATAATATGTTCGACAGGTGATATCATTTGGATTTACATACGTTCCGTTTGCATTACAAATGTAATTCATTGAATGTTTAGTTGTGCAATGATCCAAATCTGAGAGCGGTTTCGAGTTGTTAGGACAGATGTAAAATGGACTACATACACCAAATAACGTATCAAAAGTTGTACCTTCTGGACATTTTGAACGAATGGATAAAAGAGACGAATATGATGAAATGCAAACGTAAAAATATTCACAATTTGTATCTTCTGGATCTGAGAAAATTCCATCTGAAGGACAAGTGAAAATGGAACCAATATCATCATTACCAGTTGTAGAAGTTTTGATCTCATTTGCAGCATTCCTTTCAGTTGTAGAAATGAATTTGTCAGTTTCAGTTTCTGGTACAGTCATTATTGCGGCAGTGTTTGTGCTTGTGCTACATGGACATGGGTAGTTGAAATCACACACTTGTTCGAATGGATTGAAGAATGATGTTTTTGGACATTTGTATAAAGTTTGAGTAAATGAAACATTTCTCAGCTGGTTGCAGAGATAATATGTTTCACAAGATGGATCATTCAAGTTTGGATATCTACCTTTGCTACTGCAGGTAAAATATGAAGGATCTTCATTGTATTCACAGATGTACTCAGTAGTGCTGAATGGTGGTGTATATGTGGTACCGACTTCCAAAATTGTTTTATCTGTTTTGAATTCTATAGTGGTTTCGGCCTGTGTTGATTTACTCTTAGTAACTTGCTCAATTGTTGTTTCCACCTCTGTTGATCTACTTTGAGTGACTGGTTTCTCTGTTTCAGTCGTTGAAACGACAGTGCTAGTGGTCTTGCTACATGGACATTGGTAGCTTATATCACAAACTTGTTTAGGTGGATTGAAGAATGATGTTTTTGGACATTTGTATAAAGTTTGAACGAAAGAACCATTTTTCAGCAGGTTGCAGAGGTAATACGTTTCACATGATGGATCATTCAAATTTGGATATCTACCTCTGCCACTACAAGTGAAATACGATGGATCTTCATTGTAGTTACAGGGGTTCTCAGTAGTGATAGGTAGTTCATTTGTTGTACTGTTTTGTGTCGTGAATTTGTTAATCATTTCCACCTCAGTTGATTCACTCCGTTTCACTGATGGAAAGATCTGGAAAATAATATTGTGTCAAACAAAAATGTGCTTATCTGTTATTTGATGGTTTTCATAAATATATATTTTTCCAAGTATGTATCATTCAATAATTAATAGGCTCAAACCCTGATTCACATCAGTTTTAAAGATTTTTTCTCAATGTCACCATCCAAAACATACTATTAAAAATGGTTGCAACTTTGAATATCTCACGTTAATCGCAAAGAAACCGAAATGAAATTGAAATCGAATTCAGTCTTGTGGAGTGGAGCTTCTTTATTCCACTCCATATACAGGGTGAAGCACCCTACACTACGTGGTCTTTGTTAACCAAATCATCAGTTTCTTCGTGAATTTCTCCATTTCATCATATGTTTATTGATTGAGGGTGCAGAAGAAAATAATTTTGAAGTCTACTGGATGGCTCAAGAAAATGTGGCATATGAATGATGTGTTTTCCAACTAGAACACCCAGTTTTTCGTTATACTTTTGAATAGGTCAGGGAAAATATTATGATTTCATATAAACTACGTAGCTAACTATAGCCATTTTCAATTGAATTTTTTATGAAAATGCTCGGTATACAATTTGAAACTACATAAATAACATCGAAATGTTTAGAAATCGACTCTTCGAATTATGATCAAGCATGAGAGATTTTGGGCTATTGATTTCAATAAAACCCGTTTCTCAAAATCATACAGAATGTTCAAGAATCATTGTAACGTTTTCATAATTTCGGACAAAGATAACTTTGTTATTTCAAATAGAACACCTTGTACTTTTTTGGTCTGAACAATATAAAATTCAATTATCATATATTCCATTTTGGGGTTTCCTATACCCAACATAAAGAGTATTTCAGATATTGTCTTTTTCAAATAGTAGTTTTCATTTCAATGTATTATTTGAATCAAGATTGCTTTGAAGCGACATGTATACTTACTTACTTATTACTTATTGAAAGAATTCTCATATCGTTCGTTCTCATGTCTCATACTGAATATACCTATGTCAAATAATTGCTTCATAAAAACTACAAGGTTGAGTCGGTATGAAGTGATTGTGAAATCCCGTGAAAAGTGAAGAACGAGAAAACATAGTGTGTCATTTCACAACGGAACCACACGATCAGCCAACTTATGTCTGTGACCAGAAACAACCAGGAAATGAATTCCCTCATAAAGGAATCCATTCAAGGAATATTTCAAGATCGGGTAGTCATTAGTGGAAAGTCAAAAATGTAACAGACAAAAAAACTGAAGAAAATAGAAGAGGAACTGAAAACTTAGGCTGAAAGAACGTTCCATCTGCAGCAAAAAGTAGATGAAAAGGCAAAGAACAAAAAAAAAGTCGATGATATACATCAGAGTAATACCCATGTTTGTGTATACGTGGTAAACGAAGATGCTGATGACGAAGAAAACCTGCGAGAAAAAATCAAATAAATAATAAACACAAATACTGGCCTGAATTTAGGAAATGACAATATAGTTGGATGCTACAGAATAGGCAGGAAAATGGATAAACCTAATAAAAGCAGACCTATTATATTATAGTTAGCAAATACGGAACTGAAATCCAAGCTTTTTAAACACGCCTATAAGTTCAAAGGAAAGAAAATATTCATTGCAAAGACCTGACAAAAAAAAGTAGAACTATCCTGAAAGAAGCACAAAACGTTATTGGTTTGAGGAATGCATGGAGTTTCAAGGAATGCATTCACATCAAGCATGAGGGGCGCACTGTTAAAGTAAATTGTGTTGCTGACATTTCTCAATACACAACACAGTCAACCTAATGTATCAATGTATTATGTTCACTAATAATAATGATCTTTTTTTTTCTTTTCCTCTCTGAATACTTAATTGTTAATACTTCGCGACCTGGCTAATGAATAATGATCTTTTTCTTTTTTTCTTTTCCTCTTTGAATACTTAATTGTTGATACTTCGCGACCTGGCTAATGATAATGAATTATTAACTTTATATGCATAGGAGTAATTTACAATTTCTCTGATATCATCATTAGCTTGAACGTCAAAAGTGATATGTTGGAAGTTTTGGAATTGATGGAGAATGATGAGGAGATGGAAACAACAATTTATCAAAATTTCTAAAGAGTAAAAATTAATGGAGTGGTGAGCAAATTTTTAACATATTTCATTTCAACATCAGGAGTCTGAACAAAAATTTCAATGAACTTCTAATATACTTGGAAAATATACAAACAAAAAATATGGATACAATAATTTTATCCGAAACATGGATATTCTTCGAGAACTTTAAAATCCCCAATTTCGATATTCTATATAATAAATCACAGTTTTACCAAAACAATGATATAATGGTATTCATAAATAGTAACATTACTGACTCACAAACCATAAAGCACTTATCTGAAGTGAACCTCTCATATGAAATCAATAATATCACATACTCATTAGCATTCTCATATAAACGCTCCCCAACAAATTTGGATATATACCTATCTATTGGATCTGGAATGCTATTTCTCAACCTAAAATATGAGCGATGTGAACATATTCATGGGCGACATAAATGTAAATATTTTGAACTTAGCAGAAATTCAACAGATACATATGTATGCTGGCAAAGGCAGGATTTTTTTCTTTTTTAAACAATCCAACAAGAGGTCCAACGAGAGGTTAAGAACAAAAATATATGTAAGACAATGGAAATAACGACATATATTTTCAAAACTGATATAAGTGACCACGATACCTTACTACTATCCATTAAAACTGAAATGAATAAAAATCCAAAAAAATCCAGAGACGAAACTCACGCGATATCCAACTCTTACGTCAACAACAGTAAACTGAAATACTTCTTGTGCACTGAAACTTGGGAACAATATTCCAAACAGATACACCAGACCTAGCTTTCACATGTTTTATTGATCAAGTATTACTACATATCGATAGTAGTACACACATTAAATCAAATAATAATACATAATAAAATAATACAAGACAACACACCAAATTGAAATCTTGCATGACGCTTGACTTACTCAACTCAAAGCATAGGGACTACCTCAAACAAAAATCAGTAGAGAAACCTTCAGAAGAACATAAAAATGAATATAAATGCTACAGAATCTTTTTATGCAACTTAATCAAGACAACAAAAAACGAATATTACAAAAATAAAATTATTGAAGCCGGAAAAAATACAAAGAAAAGGGAAACTATTAAAGATATAACTAATAAAAATACTCTTTGCAATTCCCAGAAATTTGACATAATTAACGACAGTAACCCAATATGTAGCTCAGATAAAGAAGTAGCGGATGAATTCAACTTCTTTACAACTGTTGGTGAAAACATGTCGAAAAAAAAATAGAAAAACCGGCCCAGCCAACATCGGAAATTAAAAGAAGCATTGAAAACTCGTTATTCTTGCATGCTGTAACTGAAACTGAAATTATTAATATAATCTCTGGTTTGAAAAACAATACTTCACCTGGTCCAGATAGATTTTCAGTATTCTTCGTAAAAACATTTCAAAACTATCTATTAAAGCCATTATGTCATATCTTCTACTCAATTTTTTTGACTGGTAAAAGTTTTTCCGCTTTCAAAGATTCTATCACAATTCCAATTTACAAATCTGGGGATGAATATAAAACAAATAACTACAGACCAATAACAGTAATGAATAACTTTGAAAAGGCTATAAAAAATAGACTAGTTGATTATTGTAACATAAATGGGATTCTCTCCAAATCTCAATATGGATTCAGAGGAAATTTTTCGACTGAAGGAGCAGTCTTTGAATTGGCAAACAATGTTTTCAATAGTTTTCAAGATCAGGAAAAATGCATCACTATATTTTTAGACTTAGCCAAGGCATTTGACACCGTCAATCATGATATCCTCTTTCAGCGGTTACAGGACATTGGAGTTATAGAAATGCCTCTCGAAATTCTCAAAGATTACTTATCTAACAGAATTCAGATAGTAAATATTAATGATTCATATAGTAATCCGCTACCCGTCAGCACGGGCGTACCTCAGGGAACAGTAATAGACCCTATTTACTTTTGCTCTATGTAAACAATATTTTTGCTGCTTTAGTATTTGTGGCGAACTTGGCACTTACTAGACACTTATTGTGTTTTACGTTTTTCAAAATATTCCCTGAATTTTAACTGTTGAAAATTGAAACTTATCCCATTCAAGAGCGGATATACAAATATGATTTTTGCGATTGGTGAGTGTTTAGAGAATTGCCGGTTGGCGTCGAGGGTGTATGCCCAAAAATATTCAGACCGGAATCATCCAAACAAGTTGGGTTTCAAAAGATTGCTACATGAACTTCCTAGCATGAACTTCCTAGGACTGTGTACTGTAATTTATGAAAAAGCCACAACCCATCATTAGAAATGAGAAAAATGAATTTCTTATTATGGTATCAATCATAAAAACCCCCATACAAGTCAACATAAGATCGTGAAAGAAACAGAGATAAGCAGACGGAGCTATTGTAGCTATGACTTCCATTGACGAATCGATTTTGTCTATGGGTTCTGGATAAGTTTAGTGAGAATTGGGAGAGACTCTCAATGTTCATCAATCCACCCCATTATCCCTAAAAGTATCCCCCACATAGACAACTTCAACTTTTCAAAGATTTCACGCCACAACCATGGTAAGTTTCCTGCACATCTGGCAACAATAGGTATTGATGTGAATCCATTATGCTCATGTGACAATTTTTTTTGCGGATATGAATCATATCCTATTCACATGTCCCAACTTCGAACTGTGATGCTATACGGGGTGCAAGTATGGGGATACAAAGTGCACGACAGTAGAATAAAAAGGCAGTAGAGGCCCTTCCTGATCGCCTCAAGCGGGGCGTTCAGGACAACGCCAACGGCTGCGCTCTGCGTGATGTCCGGGATCGCCCCACTACACGTGGAAGCGAGGGCAAGATACTCGAAATGGAGTATGAATGGGATAAGAAAGATTGAGGACAGAGTGAA